GAGGAATCCACGTGCCAGTGGTGTGGTTAGGAAGAAGAGATGCCATTCTACATGACAAGGGACTGTTCGGGGCTAAGGAACCTAGGCAGCGCCTATTAGGAAACCTTGGAACCGACGCACCCATTCTTGTAACGGTTAGGACGGACAAGCTTCTACAGTTCTGTTATGAGGCCGGGCTGTACCAACCCATAACTACATAAGACCGCCTTTACCATATGTTTTGAACTCAGTACAATGGTCCCGTGGCTCAGTGCAGAGGGGGTGGGTCGAAAAAAGGGGAAAAGAAGAATTGACAATTTTGCCCTATAATACTACAGAAAAATTTTTAATGCCGAACCCTGGCGTTTATGAATAAACCAAGTTTATGCATTCGTTCTGACTTCGAGTCGGCCGGACGAGCAAACTAAAAACTAATGGACTGTAATAATTAAGAGCAGAATAACGAAACAGGTTGGATGCTAAAAGGTTCCTTAAAAATAGTTCCTTAATACCAAATTGTATGGGTTTTATAGATTTTATTAACAAATAACACGTAACTTAAACAATAGAAATTAATAATCACTAAGTTTATGTGAGATGACTGTACATTAAGTGTTCATACACTTTTGAATTGTCTGATGGTTGTTTTTTCACCAAAAGGAGTCTCAAACAGTGAAGAGCAACAGGCACACTATACACCTGAGTTGTTCGAGTGTGTGATGTATGTGTGACTGTCCGTGAGGCACTATGGCGTCGACGCCAGTTCAGCTTCGCGCCCAAAGACACTACAACTGACTTTACTGGACCCCTGGCACTGATGAGAGTAATTATGATGATTCACTTATGTTCGTAAGAGTTGTCTGAGTCTACTTGACCGTATTTGGTACTACCAAAGGTAAGCTGACTGCACAAAACCGCGATTTGACTGCGAAAAATTATACAGAGATGACCGTGTGATTTGCCTGGAGCTAACTGACGCCACAAGTGCTCGACCGCGTGCTTGTTGGCGTCACTAGGGCCGTAGAGTTGCCTTCTGGGCCATGAGGGAAATACTTCCCGATGATTGGTCCAGTGAGTTGACTGACGCGCCGGTGGACAAGTCCGGCATTAACAATTTCTGAATATTTCCCGACTCACTGACTTGGGCCCCTCCAAGTCAGAACATTGTCCCACCATCAGCAACGCCTTTGCTGATCTTCTGCTGGTGGAGTGTATGGTGAGATGACTAGCTTCGTGAGTGGTCTGACGAGTTCTGCTGTTGCTGTCCTGAGTTTGACTGTTCTGATGAGTCCGTCTGATCCTGGGAACACCTCAATCACTCTGGCGAGAGGCCACTCCGTTGGTGGGAACCTCTCGTCAGTGAGTAGTACAAGTGAGCCGACTGTGATATTGTGAACGGGGTGTTTCCACTTGGAAATGGCGAGTTGCTGCTGAAGGTATTGTTTCGACCACGTGGACCAAAACGATTGGAGTCGCTGCTGAATAAATTGCCACCTGGACAAGCGTGGCAGTGGCACATCTTCTAGTGACGGCTTTGGCAATGTTACGAGCGGTTCACCAACCAAGAAGTGTGCTGGAGTCAACGCTGAGATGTCTGTAGAGTCGGCTGAGAGAGGTTTGAGTGGTCTGGAATTGAGGACTGCTTCTATCTGGACAAGCAGTGTGGAAAGCTCTTCATATGTAAAGAGTGGGTCGCCTATAGTTCTGTTAAGATGAAATTTTACAGATTTGACTGCAGCTTCCCATTTTCCTCCCATGTGTGGTGCAGCTGGTGGATTGAACTTCCACTCAGTTCCATCTTTTGCAAATACAGCTGCGAGTTGACTGGCCTGTTGAGTCCCCTGCTTGAAGAGTTGTCTGATGAGCGTGTCTGCGCCTTGGAATGTGGTGCCACAATCACTGTAGAGAGTTGTGCAGACACCTCGACGTCCAGTGAACCGTCTGAACGCTGCAATGAATGAGTCTGCTAAATAATCTGTTACAATCTCTAAATGTAGTGCAGAAGTAACGAAGCACACAAAAATGCACATCCAACCCTTAGATGTTTTGGCGCCTCTGCCTTTCCAAGTCTTTAGCGTGATGGGACCAGCGTAATCCACACCACAGACGGCAAATGGTCGGGCTGGAGTGATTCTTGATAACGGCAATTGACCCATTAACTGCTTCGCTCGTTCGCCACGTAAACGAGCACATTTCATACAATGATAAATATAGGATCGTACTGGGAGTCGTCCGCCTATGATCCAGTACGATGATCGTATGAGGTTCAGAGTTGCCTGCGTCCCACCGTGCAATGTTCTTTCATGAGCATCTGCAATGATTAGTCTGGAAAGATGAGTTTTCTGTGGTAGGATTGCAGGATGCTTTGCTTCTTGGTCCAAGCAAGCATTTGCTAACCTCCCTCCAACACGTATGACTCCTTGAGTGTCAATAAATGCTGTCAATCGTGCGAGGGGGTGTGAGACGGGCAGTGAATTTGAGTTGATCTGCTTGATTTCCTGTGAGAAGTACGATTCTCGAGTTGCCTTTATCCAAAAAATCCTTGCTCTCTCTAAATCTCGTGGCGTGAAAGGAAAGGTAAGAGATGACTGCGGTACTCGTCTAAGGAGTTGGCTGAACCTGAAGCAAATTGCAGTCACTCTGAGCAATTTGATTAGCCGAGAATGTCTGTATATCATATCCCAATGATAATCATGGTGAATTGTCTGAGTAACTAAAGTGAGCCCGGGCCGCTCTTCCTGCTGAGCTTTTGAATCGTACACTGATGATTGAGTTGGCCATAATGATTCGTCTGCTGTTAACCACTGTGGACCTGTCCACCACAGGGGGTGTTTTCGAAGCTGGGATATGCTGATACCTCGAGGAGCACAATCAGCTGGATTTTGTTTGCCAGGTACAAACCTCCAAACGCTGATTAAAGTGAGATCTTGGATTGCTGACACTCTGTTTCTTACAAACTCCTTCCAACGGGATGAGTGAGACTGAATCCAGGTCAAAGTCACTGAGGAGTCTGTGCGACATACTAGTTGAGTTGGCTGAATGTCTAAGTTGTTCCTTACATAAGTGATTAGTCTGGCAAGCAGCACTGCTGCGGTGAGTTCTAGTCTAGGAATAGACATCTTCTTCAATGGAGCAACCTTAGACTTTGAGCAGACTATAGTTGAACAAGTTCCATGATCTGGATGAGTAGCCCGTATGTAAACAACTGCTGCCATAGCTAGTTGTGAGGTGTCTGAAAAGCCATGAAGTTCCACGGTAGATTTCTGAGTAATCTTTAACCATCGTGGAATTGAGAGGTCTGAAACGTGTGAGAGTTCTGATCTGAAGCTGGTCCACTTGGTGAGAATGTGATCTGGGGCTTGGTCATCCCGTGACAGTTTATCTAGCCAGATTTCTTGTAGCAACATCTTTGCTCTGACAATAAAAGGTGCTAGAAATCCAAGTGGATCGTAGAGTTGTACTGTTTCTGATAAAATTATTCTCTTCGTGAGCTTGGACTTCTCACGAGGAGGTTTTGAGTTGAACTTAAATGAGTCATTCGCTGGAATCCACGAGATCCCAAGTAATTTTGTTTTGCAGCTCTCAAATGAGTGGATCTGCTCTTCTGATGAGTTGTCTGTGATTGACTGAAGGAATTGGATTGAGTTGCTGTTAAAAGTTATTGACCTCTAAAGGTTGGAACAATTCAAAACAATGAAGATATTGAACACCTTTTGGGCACGATACTGCTGTGAGAGAAACAAAGCGATATGTCAGCGCTTGTCACATTCATTGCGAGTATTTGATCATAATAAACGTGCCTAAACGAAACACAACGTAAACAAAACCCATGGGATAAACAAGGAGGGTTATGTTTATGTATTCAAAATACAGGAAAGGATAGCTGACGTCACAAGGTCAGCATTTATAAGACTTTAAAGAAAACTAAGTGATCACCAGCATTGTATAGAGTAATCACCCCAAGTGACATAAAAAAAAAATCGCAAAATTAAATAGCATCAATCGATAAAGTTTTCAATGCTGAGTCGATTAATGATATTCATTTTTTTGATTTTTTTTTAACGATACATGGGGTAACTGGGGGTAGAATAAAAATAATAATAACAAACTATTTGCAAGTGAGCTCAAGTTAATTTCAATCAACTTTACTTAAAAAACAGAATCGATTAAAACTAACTTGCAAATAGTTTGTTATTATTATTTTGCTGTGACATTTCGACAACGGGAAGCCACCTGCCATGCAGAGTTGTCTGACTTGAGTTGAGATGTCTATCAGTTGAGTCACTGTGTCAGCACCTCCAAAAATATCGTCTACATATCTTCCTTTTAATAGTGGATCAACAGCTAGAGGGAATTTTCGATCCTCATCCTTTACTAGCTGGATCATTGTGCGAACAGCCAGAAAGGGAGCTGATCTGGTACCATATGTGACTGTTGTGAGTTGATATGGGATGATCTTGGAGTGCTCGTCCACCCACAGGATTCTCTGGAGATCCCAATCATCTTGGTGGACTTTGATTTGCCTGTACATCTTTGTGATGTCTGATGTAAACACAAATTTATGCTGCCTGATCCAAATGAGTACGTCTGCAATGTCTTTCTGGACTTTGGCACCAGTATGTTGAATATCGTTCACTGATAGACCACTAGAAGATGGACTAGAGCCATTCAATACTACACGGAGTTTTGTAGTAATACTGTCTTCTCTTAAGACACCATGATGAGGCAAATAATACACTGGAGAGTTGACTGGACTTGCCTTGGCTCGTTTCATGTGGTTCAGTGACTCATATTCTTGCATAAAGTTGTGCATATGAGTCATTCTTTGTGAGTCGTCTGATCATGTGTAGTAAACACTGATGAGCTCTCGCTGTTGAGTTGATTAGAAGAGATAGTGATGCTTTTAGCGGTATTCTCACAACATCTCTCCCATCTTGGTCTCTTGAATGAGTCGTAACATAATGATCTTCACAAGATTGATCATCTTGGCTGAGTTGGCTGGCTGAAGTCTCTGGAACTTTTTATTGAACCCAGAATTTTGTCAAGAGATCAGACACTTGCTGGTATGAGCTGACCCATGCTGCGTGATGAGTTCTCACAGTTGAGCATCGTGTCTGTTGTGGCATTCCAATGAGCATCCATCCAAAGATTGAATCTTGGGCTATGAGAGATGACTGAGGAAATTGTTTGATGCCCGCCTTCACAATCAGACCATAACAATCTGCTCCTATTAAGATATCAATGGGTCTTGGAGTTGAGTAGTCTGGATCAGCAAGTTGAAGAGAGTTGAGAGCTGACCAGTTGATTTCCTTGAGTTGTCTGGTTGGTAAAGTACCAGTGACGCATTTGAGGATATGAGCATTAATTGTAACTTGCTCCTGTGTGTGAGTTGATCTAAGTGTCACTGTTGTCACTCCTCTAGTTTGTACAGCTGGTTCGTTACCAATTCCCAGCACTGATATCACTGATGGACAACGTTGGAGATGACAAGTCTTTACCACACTTGATGAGATGAACGTCAGCTCAGACCCCGAGTCTATCAGGAGTCTTATTGGAAGCTGAGAGTAGTCTGAGAGTAATACTGCATTGGCTGTGGCGAGTAAGACTGCTGAGCTGTCTGATTGATCTGAAGACTCATTAGTCCATGTCTCTTCTGCTGCTCTAGGTGCTGAAGAGAATCGTCCATGAATCTCTGAGTTGTCTATCTTGTTCTTGGTGATTGTTGCATCATGTGAGTCGTCTGAGAGTTGACTAGTGTGAGTCTTTCTCTTTTCTCCGGCTGTAGGAGATCGAACGAGACCTTCTGACTCTTCGTCCAGGACCCTCAACCCTCCTGAGGCCGAAACCTCATGTGCTAAGGTCATCCTTTCTGTCGAGTCATCAGAGAAGCATTCTTTACTCCTGTTAGCGCATGTAGATTGACATGATTCATCACCATTGATTGTTGAGTTGTCTGCATGTTGCATGATCACACCACCACTTGACGAGTTGACTGAAGCATAATCAGAGTTGACTGCAGAGAGTTGACTGTGATGATGAGTTGCCTAGTGAGAAGTCTCCGTAGATGAATGAGTGTGATCTGGAGTCGGCTGTGGAAATGGCACGTCATCACCTCACTGCTGGGAGGTTGATGGCTCTTGACCTGGTTGAGTAGGCTGCGGTTCTTGGCCTGGGCCATACCCTCTTTTTCTCAAGGACTCTGTCCTGGGCGTATGGATCATTGAGTGGTGCTTTAAATTGCACGTACTGCACCTCTTCTCTGATTGAAACACCTGGATGGAGTGGTGGCCGAAGCAGTTAAAGCACAGCCGTGCTGCGAGGACCAGCTTGTATCGGTCTTGTTGCGAGAGTCCTACGAATGATTTACAGTCAACCAAATAGTGATCCAAACTGCTGCATTGATCACGGGGGGAGTCTGCTTGTCTTTTTTGAGCCCCATGCCTGGAGGCTCGATTCGTCTGCGAGTGAGTTGTCTGCTGGCGATTGGACTGTTGTTGTGATCTGGACTTCTTCGTGATCACTGGAGTAGGCCACCGTTTTGCTTGCCGGGCTGCATCTTGAGCTGACTCCATCGCACGTGCCCTGGTTGAGATGAAGTTGAGTAGACTGTCTAGAGTTGTCGGTGAGCGAGACCTACTTCGCTCGAGTTCCCATGACTCACGTAGCGGCTGCTCAAGTTTACTGGCCACCAGGTATACCAAGAAGTAGTTTGCTGAGTCGACTGGGACATTGAGTGCCTTCAAGGCATCTAAGTTTTGGCGTACAACGTCTACCAGGTTATCGAGTTGTTCAGCTGACTTCGATGATGGTGTGGTCACACTGAACAAGTCCTTGATGTGGGCGAAGATGAGTTGCTCTGGATCATCATACCTGGACTTGAGTTGATTCCACGCTGGTTCGTATCCATCGTCGTTCATCACAGCATGACGGATCAATTGAAGTGGGGGAACTGATACATTGGCCTTAAGGTAAGGTAGTTTGGCCACTGGTCTGAGATCTTCTCGATCGTGAACGAGGGATGTAAACATGTCCCTGAACTGCGTCCACGTTGATGAGTCGCCTGCGAATGTTGGGAGAGGGATCTCTGGGAGAGTTGCCTGTCTGTACATGATTGGAGTCGTCTGCTGCGTTGAGGCTTTGTAGTCATCGATGGCCTTCTAGATGTCCTTCTCGTGTAGTTCTGATTTAACACAATGGAGAGTTGACTTAATATGATAATGAAGCCTTAAAGCACTTTCGTACACTCTATCTGTCATGTACTTGTGCTTGAAAAGCGTCAACCGACACCCTACACCTAATGCCTCATGCTCCACTACAAAGTATGTCCAGAGGTCGTTCAATTGGGATAGCTTAGCCTCGATCATAGACATTGTGACGAGAGCAGGCTGTCGCACAACGTCAGCCACATCTTGCTGCATGAATTGAAGCTGCTCATACCTGGACATTTGAGATGTGAGCTTAAACAGCGTGATGTTCGCCAGGGCAGGAGGTGATTTCGACCTATCACGGGATGTGGTGGCCTTTTCGGGCACCTTGAGTGTTGTTTCACTGGGACCTTCTGCCTGAGAGTCGACTGGAACTGGTGATGGCGCTTGGCTTACATTCACTTGCTCTAACATCTCACTAATACCTTCAACTGACTCATTGTCTTCGGCTACATCTACGTAGTCCGATTTTGCAGGAGAAATTAAACGTTTGTCTGCCATAGTTTAGTTGAGTAAGTTGTCTAATGTCACTATAATTACACTTATCACTAAAAATGCACAAAAACTGTTGCTAGAGTTGTCTACTGTCACCTTGATACTAATGGTGGGCTTTCAATACAGTCCCAACATCAAAAGAATCACACAAATTAATGAACTGAGTCTACGAGCTCTAAATAGTAATTTTCGGTGACTAAACTTGCACTGCGGACACTACACTAATTAACGAACTATGTTTATGTACACGTGAGTTGACTGCGTCAAGGCTATCTTGACTCTGACCAAAATGCGCGCTAAGCGTCCGTAAAAAGAGTTTATTAACACCAAGATTGTATGGGTTTTATAGATTTTATTAACAAATAACACGTAACTTAAACAATAGAAATTAATAACCACTAAGTTTATGTGAGATGACTGTACATTAAGTGTTCATACACTTTTGAATTGTCTTATGGTTGTTTTTTCACCAAAAGGAGTCTCAAACAGTGAAGAGCAACAGGCACACTATACACCTGAGTTGTTCGAGTATGTGATGTATGTGTGACTGTCCGTGAGGCACTATGGCGTCGACGCCAGTTCAGCTTCGCGCCCAAAGACACTACAACTGACTTTACTGGACCCCTGGCACTGATGAGAGTAATTATGATGATTCACTTTTGTTCGTGAGAGTTGTCTGAGTCTACTTGACTGTATTTGGTACTACCAAAGGTGAGCTGACTGCACCGCGATTTGACTGCGAACAATTATACAGAGATGACCGCGTGATTTGCCTGGAGCTAACTGACGCCACAAGTGCTCGACCGCGTGCTTGTTGGCGTCACTAGGGCCGTAGAGTTGCCTTCTGGGCCATGAGGGAAATACTTCCCGATGATTGGTCCAGTGAGTTGACTGACGCGCCGGTGGACAAGTCCGGCATTAACAATTTCTGAATATTTCCCGACTCACTGACTTGGGCCCCTCCAAGTCAGAACAGCAGCATTAAATACGTTTTAGTTCCACATTTGTCTCTTTCCTCACAATCATTCCTACCACGGTTTTATGGCGCCTACTTATGATCTGAATTTTTAGAAATTCTAAAAATACCATCATTGAGAGGATTTATGGAGACTATAACAATTCACATGGATTACAATGTGCCCCGTATACTTTGCTTTCCATTTATTAATGAACTACCATTGAATTTAACAACACTTAATACATCTCTGCATTATGCACTTGAAGAATGTTCCAAGCAAGACCAAAAAACGTGTTTTGTGACTTTCGATTAACCACTATATCGAAAGGCTCGTTCAATATTAGCAAAATCGACTGACGAGAAATATCAAAAAATCGTGGTTCGATTAGGTGGTTTTCACATTCTAATGTCTTATCTTGGAGCAGTAGGACACATAGTGGCAGGAAGTGGTTTGGAAGATTTATGGTCAAGGATTTATGCAAAACAATCGAAAAAAAAATGATAGCTGATCATGCCTACAGTCGAGCGACAAGAGCTCATATTTTAACGCATACAGCTGTTGGTATGCTGGATCGTGAGGCAATCCATTCTACAAAAGAATCAGCAAAAGAAAAAGACCGAGACTCTTGTTACAAATTCGAAGAATACATTGTGAAATGTTCACCTACTTTTTTAATTTTTTGAGAGAAAATAAAAATATCTTATCTTTGGAAGAGAACCCTGTAGGAACCCTATCCTAAGCTTATTAGATTGATTTGCAAAATCCGACTTTTGCGATCGTTTTCCAGTGGACGTCTGTGTGTGTGTATGTACGTATGTGCGAATGTGCGTACGTTCGTTCGGAATTTTCCTGGATTAGATTTTCAGCAAAATCGGTCCAGTCATTTTTTTCGTTAAACTAAAAAACTATCAAAAATGGAAAACGATCTGAATTTCTTAATTTATAAATTATACCATGTTTTAGACAAAATTTCAAAATCTTCAAAAAATATGAATATTAAGTGATTAGAATACTTGCATAAAAATATGATGACAATATTTCATCGAAAAAAAAAAAATTTTGAAAACAAAATCAGCAATGAAAGAATTTTAAACTCGTGTCAAGATTGAGAAAACAGCATGAAAGACGCTGTAATAGTCAATAATAATTGTTTATACCATGGAATTGTGTCCATAACAATTGAACATTGTTACTAACAAATAATTATTGACATTGTAATATTTAAATAAAAAGTTTTAAATTGTTATAAACAATAAAAATAGGGATCCATGATATGTATATATGAGTACTTTTAACGCATAATTTTTTCTTTACAATTGTTATAAAGAATGGAAAACAAGATCTAGGCAACATATTTGTGTTCTATTTACGTGTAATTTTTTATTTTACTAAAAAAAGTTACTTACTGTATGACATAAATGAAAACATGCTTCTTTGTTCATATCATAATATAACATAATATAATATAACATAACAACATCAAATAACATATGAAAAAAACAAATAGGTAAATTAACAAATAAATAAATAACAGTATAATTAAATGAAACAAGATAAAAATAAATTAATTTGTGAATAAATAAACATGTAATCAAAAAAAAACTAATAAGTTCATCAATAAATTAACAAAAAAAAATAGATAAAAAGTGAACCAATAAACAACATCATAAGCAAGTTATAAACAAAAATGTTATGTTATGTGATGTTACATTATGTTGGATTATATTCTTATTCTTTCATTCATTCATTTGTTAATTTATTTATTTATATTTGGTCATATTTGGACTTTTTATTATTACTATTATTATTATTATCATTCACAGGTAGAGGGAAGAATGGGGGTGCTCACCACACCCCCAAAGAGAAAAGACATGCTGAGGACCGCCAGTCATAAGATCGAGGGTTGATGCCAAAGGCAGAAACGAGTTAGAGGAGGAAGAGGAAACGATAGAGGAAGAGGAGGTCGAGGATGGGAAGATCACAATTGGAATCGAGGGCGTTGTGGCGGTGTTACCCTCTACTAGCATTTTTATGCTTGAATTAAAAATAATAATAACAACACTAATAATTATAGAAAGTATTTTCAATAATAATAGTATTTATTATAAAAACAAAAAAAATGGTGATTCTTTAATTTTTTCCACTGGGGAGTTGGTCGTGTGGACCTTTCGGGTCGCACCCAGACCACTGCAGAGCACTGATATTTTGATTAGCAAGCGATATTGGCAGGTAATCAATAAAGTACGACTCAATAAAGACATATGAAATAAACCACTTTAATCCAATAAATTGAGGCATCTGGATTCCACAATCTCTATTGTATTCCTCAAAAGGGGGAAAGTGCAATATCGTTTCTAGGAATGATAAGATCTGGTTTACATTACCTTCAGTTTATTGAACAATAGAAAAAAAATGACTCAACTTATATAATTTAACCAATATTTGACTTACAGTGTAAATGACAATAAATATTCTCATAGACTTTGTCTATGGGTGACTCTTTATAATTCAACAATTCTGTAATTACGATTTTATGTAATTTAGATAGACTTGTTTATTGACTCTAATACAATCTTATCTTCATATCTCCACAATAAACTCAATAATTGAGACTATAATCTTGGACACCATGAGATCAGTAAAATAACAAGAAATTATTAAACTATAAAGACAGACTTTAATAGTGAGACAGACATACTCATCGATTGTACTATGTAACCGGCTGGACTTACTTGCTCATTTCGAACTACTGCAATTCTCAGGATCTTGTTGTCTCTGCCAATCTGAAATCTTCTGGGCTTCGTACAGGTTCTGGTAGACTGAAGTCTTTAGCCATTACCACCTCTATGCATTCGACTTGTTGTCTCTGCTACTTAGCAACACTCTGGACAGCACTTTTGTTCCCTTGTGGACTGGACTAGCGATCTCGGAGAAGTTGACTGGATACTTTGACTTTCAGTCGCCAATATTGCTTTGTACTTATTGATTGGATATTACTTTTACTCTGTGACTATCTGTCTAACTTTTATATCAAAAGACTATAGACTATAAGTGACTTAATTATGATGTCCAATAATGGAAAAGGCGGCAAACTTGTTGCGTCTCTTTGGACTGTATTCGGTGCGTGATGTTCTTTGGCACAGCCATAATCTAAGTAATGAGTAACGCTCAAGCGCTGCCAAGCGTGGCCGATCGTCATCCCTCCTCGTTCTATCCCTTCCTTCCTCCTAGCTAATTTAGCGCCCCTAGGGCTCACACTCTGAAACTCGGAGCAAGAAAGGGTATTAGTACTTTCCGATGGTAAATATGGAAAGTTCAAGACGTAACTGAGTGGCTAGAATCACACTTCACAACATACAATGAACAGAAGGAGCGAAATCACTTTTTGCTAGTTTTAATACACAGCCACCAATTTTAGAAGACATACGAAGTGATGAAAATGTTAAAATATTAATTGAAAACTTCACTACATATTTAACCAAAGCTCTCATGGAAAATTCAACAGCTAAATTGTGGCATCAGTATCTGGAGACAGTTTCTACAGCTCTTCAATTCAACGAGGCAGAGAGATTCGGCAATTGGCAGTTACACTTAAAAAGTGTGAAAAAATCCTACCATTATTCCATGCATTTGGACATTTGGCATATACGAAAAGTGCGTAAGTTTATTTATAAGATATGCTGAACTTGGAACAAAAAATGGACCCTGATAAATGTGAAAAATTTGCAGAGCAAGGTTATTTTACAATTCGACGAAGTCAGAAAGCTTGGTTAGGTATTTGGTCTGGCATGTCCATAGAACAAACCTTGAATCGTTTCTTCGGAACTGATCTGAAACATGGACGAGGAATTACTGTAAGTGTCGTCACACGTTAGCTATTTGAAATGCCAGGAGCTCACTAAATCATTGATAACTTATTTAAACATCACACCAGCAAATAGTGAACAATACACAAATTTATCTCATAGTAAAATGGTAACAGATGCAGAACATATAAAAATATGGGGTCAATGGCTAACTGGTTAACCCTGTTTGAAATTACTCTCGTTATCTACTGGTGTTATAGGCAATACATAAACAAATTGTCACAAAGCCTATGAAGTTGGCGAAGCAGGTATGAAAACAACGTTTGAAAATATTCCTGAATTGTCATTAACAAAATTATACAAAGTAAAGAACTTACTTGAAGCAGAAACTCTTCATATTGAAGATGACTGTATTCCTATAGACCCACTGATGCTATTTCAGAGAATTTCATTAATTATTCAGCGTAAAAAAAAAATGCTTGAAGCCTTCAGATATGAATTATCACCATACCCACTGAGTCTGTTTGACGAACAAGGTTTTATGAGAAAATCCGCCAAGTCTCAATTGTACAGCATTGTTAAACCCTATGTTATACCTGACGTCATAGACAAGGAATTGCTCATCGTGATAGAAAGGTTTTGACGGAAGCAAATAAATGTACCAGCTGATATTGCCATTAGTGCAGAAAACATTATCACATTATCTCAAACAAAATTTCTTTCTAACATTGGAAATAAAATAAAACTAGTCGATGCACTAATGTCTCATCTAAAAGAAAAAGGAATAAAGTAGCAGCAGAAGATGCTCATAGTTTCATTGTCTGAAAAGCCGTACAGTTATCACAAGCAACGAACACATCAATAACGATCGTAGGAAGTGATGTTGACTTGTTAATTCTCTTAATTGGAGTAGCTCCAGAAGATAAACAATTTTATTTCCGGAAAACCGCGAGTAGGAAATCAAAGCGGAATGTCTATTATTCCAGAAATCAGAAAACTTCCGAAGCAGTTTATATTATTCGCACATGCATTCACCGGAAGCGATACTATTAGCGCTTTTTATCTCCGGTAAAGATTTGCGGTAGGAATGTTTTAAAAATGCCGTTACTTGATGAAAAGTAGACATATCAATTGCAACGTTGCCACCAACAAACGCAGCATTAATAGAACATACGAAACGCGAGTACTATCAAATTCAATTTTGGCTTGGGAACGCGATAAACGCAGAACAATGGAGATGGACAGGGACTAAATCGTTGTTCATACCAATATTAAGTACAGAAGAACCAGCACTAGACGAGCTTCTCAAAATTATCAATTGTGCTTGTAAGAGTGATTGTGCTACAAGGAAGTATACATGTGAAAAAATAGGTTTAAAATGAGACCAATTGTGCCGTCAGTGGAACGGCAAAACGCGTGCAAATCGTCAAATAAGGAGACTTATTGATAACAAAGAAGAAAGTGATGATGAAGATAATCCAGCACCAGTAATAATTGAAGAAGAAAAAAGTGAAGAAGAAGAGAACAATCAAGAGAGGGATGAAGAGAACAATAGAGAAGCAGAAACGGACAAAGATAGTGAAATCATGAGGCATGAAGATGAAGAAATGGATATAGATGACAGTGATGAAGGAAAATTAAGAAAAATTGTTTCAATAAAATATTGTACGAAAACATTTCAGACAGTAGACAATTGTTATACTATGAATTTGTCAATAAAAAAATTTTATTTACAACGAATATTGACCTTCACCACTACATAAAATATTTTTTTGTTTAGATGTAAATAATGTTTGAATTTGATGAAAGTAATATTTATATTTGAATCGACGCAGCTTTTCATACTGAGTCGAAATATATATACTTAAAAATACATTTTCTTTAATCATATTAACATTATTTATGCAATGGAAGAAACTTAAATTTTGAAAGTATTGTGCCACAGAATGTAAAAATTAAACGTCACAGTAATTTATTACCTAGTAGTGTTCACGAAGTAATATGTGGTCCTTCGAATTGTAGTAAAACAAATGCACTCTTGACCTCTATTATTCATTCAAATGTTTTACGTTTTGGTAATATATATCTATTTTTCGAATCTATACACGAACCAAAGTATAAATTTTTAGAAACGCTATTGAAACCTGTCGAAGAATTCAGTTATTTCTCTTTCAATGAACATGAAGAAGTTGTGAAACTCAAGTAAAACCCCATTCGATAATGATCTTTGATGATGTGACATGCGAGAAGCAAGATAATATGTGTGCATATTTTTGTATGGAGCGTCATAGAGACATTGATAGTTTTTATCTTCGTCAAACTTATGCACGTATTTCAAAACATTTAGTACGAGATAATCCAAATTTTCTCGTTCCATTCTGTCAAGATGATATGAATCTTAATCATATTTATGGTGATCATGGGAACACAAACATGTAATTTACAGAATTTCGAAATCTCTGTTCGAAATGTTGGAATGATAAGTATGGATTCATAGTTATCGACAAATACAGTGAATCAAATTGTGGACATTATAAAAAGTAATTTAATTGCTCCATTAGCATATAAATAAATTAGCTCGCACGTTTTCAATACCTACATTTGCTTTGTGAGTAAGATGAGTGCAGATATATTTCTATGTCTATTTGTTCTGACTTGGAGGGGCCCAAGTCAGTGAGTCGGGAAATATTCAGAAATTGTTAATGCCGGACTTGTCCACCGGTGCGTCAGTCAACTCACTGGGCCAATCATCGGGAAGTATTTCCCTCATGGCCCAGAAGGCAACTCTACGGCCCTAGTGATGCCAACAAGCACGCGGTCGAGCACTTGTGGCGTCAGTTAGCTCCAGGCAAATCACGCGGTCATCTCTGTATAATTTTTCGCAGTCAAATCGCGGTTTTGTGCAGTCAGCTCACCTTTGGTAGTACCAAATACGGTCAAGTAGACTCAGACAACTCTTACGAACATAAGTGAATCATCATAATCAATCTCATCAGTGCCAGGGGTCCAGTAAAGTCAGTTGTAGTGTCTTTGGGCGCGAAGCTGAACTGGCGTCGACGCCATAGTGCCTCACGGACATTCATATATACATCGCACACCCGAAAAACTCTGGTGTATAACGTGAATGTTGCTATTCACTGTTTTAAGAAGTTTTTTGGTGAAACATTGACCAGCAGACAATTCACAAGTGAAAAAAAAATAGTTGAATTACGGACAACTCAATGAACCTTAGTGATTAGTGCTTTCTATTGTACCAGTTTAATTGTTAATTGTTAATAAAAGTGAAAATACCATACAATTTTGGTGTTAATAAACTCTTTTTACGGAACCTTATAGCATCCAACCTTTGTCTTTATTCTGCTCTTAATTATTACAGTCCACTAGTTTTTAGTTTGCTCGTCCGGCCGACTCGAAGTCAGAACATTTGGTCCTTCGAGCCGGAGGAGAACGGCTTGGATGCACATTGAACAATTCTAGAAGGTTCTAGTGCTTCATAATTTTGTGAATATTCTGTGAAATTCTCTGTATAAAGTGCTTAGAATTCAAATAGACTAAAAAACCTTCAGTGTTAGTGGGTAAACAACCTTACAGACAAAAGGTGTTTACGCATTCCAGTGCCCAGTGACACTCATCTTTATTGTTGTGACATAGTGGTGCTCAGTCTGGCCAACTTGGACTCCTCTTTAGACGCTTGGCGCGCATTTTGGTCAGAGTCAAGATAGCCTTGACGCAGTCAACTCACGTGTACATAAACATAGTTCGTTAATTAGTGTAGTGTCCGCAGTGCAAGTTTAGTCACCGAAAATTACTATTTAGAGCTCGTAGACTCAGTTCATTAATTTGTGTGATTCTTTTGATGTTGGGACTGTATTGAAAGCCCACCATTAGTATCAAGGTGACAGTAGACAACTCTAGCAACAGTTTTTGTGCATTTTTAGTGATAAGTGTAATTATAGTGACATTAGACAACTCACTCAACTAAACTATGGCAGACAAACGTTTAATTTCTCCTGCAAAATCGGACTACGTAGATGTAGCCGAAGACAATGAGTCAGTTGAAGGTATTAGTGAGATGTTAGAGCAAGTGAGTGTAAGCCAAGCGCCATCACCAGTTCCAGTCGACTCTCAGGCAGAAGGTATCAGGGAAACAACACTCAAAGTGCCCGAAAAGGCCACCACATCTCGTGACAGGTCAAAGTCACCACCAGCAATCGCCAACACAACACAATTTAAGTTGACGTCTCAGATGGCAAGGTACCAACAGCTCCAGTTCATGTATCAGGATGTGCTTGAGCTAGTAAGACAGCCTGCGCTCATGACAATGAGTGTAATTGAAGGTAAGCTCGCACAACTCAATAAGCTGTGGACCTACTTTGTGGTAGAGCACGAGGCATTAGGTGTTGAGTGCCGGCTAACACTCTTCAAGCACCCATACATGACTGATCGAGTCTTTGGAAGTGCGTTGCGACTTCACTATCACACCGAGTCAACGCTTCACCGTGTCAAATCTGAATTGCACGAAAAGGACATTCAGAAGTCACTAGACGAGTACAGATTGTCCACTCAGCAGGCAACTCTCCCGGAAATAACCCTTCCGACGTTCTCAGGCGACTCCTCAGAATGGACCCAGTTTCGTGATATGTTCACGTCTCTGGTACATGATCGTCAAGATCTACGACCAGTTTCCAAGCTCCATTACCTGGAAGCAAACCTGTCAGGCCCACCATCGCAACTTATCAGGCATGCCATCATGAATGATGATGGGTATGAGCTAGCTTGGAAGCAACTGAAAGAAAGGTATGATAACCCTGAACAGCTCATATTCTCTCACATAAAACATTTGTTTAGCATTCCAACACCAGCATCTAAGTCAGCTGAACAGTTAGACAACTTAGTAGGCATTGTAAAGCAGAACTTGGATGCACTCAGGGCACTCAATGTTCCAGCCGACTCAGCCGACTACTTTTTGATCTATTCGGTGGCTAGTAAACTCGAGCAACATCTCCGAGAGTCCTGGGAGTTAGAACGGAGCAGATCACGGTCTCCAACTACACTCAACAGTCTACTCAACTTCATTTCAACCAGGGCACGTGCGATGGAGTCAGCTTAAGATGCAGCTCGTCAGGCAAACCGATGGCCTACTCCAGTGATCACGAAGAAGTCCAGATCACAACAACAGTCCAATCGCCAGCAGACAACTCACTCGCAGACGAATCGAGCCTCCAGGCATGGGGCTCAAAAAAGACAAGCAGACTCCCCCCGTGATCAATGCAGCAGTTTGGATCACTATTTGGTTGACTGTAAATCATTCGTAGGACTCTCGCAACAAGACCGATACAAGCTGGTCCTCGCAGCACGGCTGTGCTTTAACTGCTTCGGCCACCACTCCATCCAGGTGTTTCAATCAGAGAAGAGGTGCAGTACGTGCAATTTAAAGCACCACTCAATGATCCATACGCCCAGGACAGAGTCCTTGAGAAAAAGAGGGTATGGCCCAGGCCAAGAACCGCAGCCTACTCAACCAGGTCAAGAGCCATCAACCTCCCAGCAGTGAGGTGATGACGTGCCATTTCCACAGCCGACTCCAGATCACACTCATTCATCTACGGAGACTTCTCACTAGGCAACTCATCATCACAGTCAACTCTCTGCAGTCAACTCTGATTATGCTTCAGTCAACTCGTCAAGTGGTGGTGTGATCATGCAACATGCAGACAACTCAACAATCAATGGTGATGAATCATGTCAATCTACATGCGCTAACAGGAGTAAAGAATGCTTCTCTGATGACTCGACGGAAAGGATGACCTTAGCACATGAGGTTTCGGCCTCAGGAGGGTTGAGGGTCCTGGACGAAGAGTCAGAAGGTCTCGTTCGATCTCCTACAGCCGAGAGAAAAGAGAAAGACTCACACTAGTCAACTCTCAGACGACTCACATGATGCAACAATCACCAAGAACAAGATAGACAACTCAGAGATTCATGGACGATTCTCTTCAGCACCTAGAGCAGCAGAAGAGACATGGACTAATGAGTCTTCAGATCAATCAGACAGCTCAGCAGTCTTACTCGCCACAGCCAATGCAGTATTACTCTCAGACTACTCTCAGCTTCCAATAAGACTCCTGATAGACTCGGGGTCTGAGCTGACGTTCATCTCATCAAGTGTGGTAAAGACTTGTCATCTCTAACGTTGTCCATCAGTGATATCAGTGCTGGGAATTGGTAACGAACCAGCTGTACAAACTAGAGGAGTGACAACAGTGACACTTAGATCAACTCACACACAGGAGCAAGTTACAATTAATGCTCATATCCTCAAATGCGTCACTGGTACTTTACCAACCAGACAACTCAAGGAAATCAACTGGTCAGCTCTCAACTCTCTTCAACTTGCTGATCCAGACTACTCAACTCCAAGACCCATTGATATCTTAATAGGAGCAGATTGTTATGGTCTGATTGTGAAGGCGGGCATCAAACAATTTCCTCAGTCATCTCTCATAGCCCAAGATTCAATCTTTGGATGGATGCTCATTGGAATGCCACAACAGACACGATGCTCAACTGTGAGAACTCATCACGCAGCATGGGTCAGCTCATACCAGCAAGTGTCTGATCTCTTGACAAAATTCTGGGTTCAATAAAAAGTTCCAGAGACTTCAGCCAGCCAACTCAGCCAAGATGATCAATCTTGTGAAGATCATTATGTTACGACTCATTCAAGAGACCAAGATGGGAGAGATGTTGTGAGAATACCGCTAAAAGCATCACTATCTCTTCTAATCAACTCAACAGCGAGAGCTCATCAGTGTTTACTACACATGATCAGACGACTCACAAAGAATGACTCATATGCACAACTTTATGCAAGAATATGAGTCACTGAACCACATGAAACGAGCCAAGGCAAGTCCAGTCAACTCTCCAGTGTATTATTTGCCTCATCATGGTGTCTTAAGAGAAGACAGTATTACTACAAAACTCCGTGTAGTATTGAATGGCTCTAGTCCATCTTCTAGTGGTCTATCAGTGAACGATATTCAACATACTGGTGCCAAAGTCCAGAAAGACATTGCAGACGTACTCATTTGGATCAGACAGCATAAATTTGTGTTCACATCAGACATCACAAAGATGTACAGGCAAATCAAAGTCCATCAAGATGATTGGGATCTCCAGAGAATCCTGTGGGTGGACGAGCACTCCAAGATCATCCCATATCAACTCACAACAGTCACATATGGTACCAGGTCAGCTCCATTTCTGGCTGTTCGTACAATGATCCAGCTAGTAAAGGATGAAGGACATAAGTTCCCTCTAGCTGTTGACGGTCAAGTAGACTCAGACAACTCTCACGAACAAAAGTGAATCATCATAATTACTCTCATCAGTGCCAGTGGTCCAGTACATTCAGTTGTAGTGTCTTTGGGCGCGAAGCTGAACTGGCGTCGACGCCATAGTGCCTCACGGACATTCACATATACATCGCACCCCCGAACAACTCTGGTGTATACTGTGAATGTTGCTATTCACTGTTTTGAGACTATTTCTTTTGGTGAAAAAATAACCATCAGACAATTCATACGTGTACAACCAATTAATGTACAGTCAACTCAAATATATGTAGTGATTATTAAGTTCTCTTGATTATGTTAAGTGTTATTGTTGAATAAAATCAAAAAAAACCCAAGCAATTCAGTGTTAATAAACTATTTTTAGGAACCTTCTAGCATTAGGAACCAATCTTTTGTTCTTATTCTGCTCTTACTTATTACAGTCCACTAAGGTAGTTTTCTCGTCCGGCCGACTCGAAGTCAGAACACATACACTATCGATTCTTGTTTTATATTTTCAAATGTGCGAGCTAGTCAAAGTTTACGAGCAAATTGGTTTTTAATTATTGATTCATCGAAAACTTCAATTAGTAAAGACAGGGTAAATTTTGAAAATAGTAGGAATGAAATTAGAGTGAAAAGTGCTATAAATGCTGAGACTTTTTGGTTAGAAAATCACTCTCAAACGAAAAGTTGTTTGATGTTTTATAATCTTTGTAAGCTGAAGAATATCGTTTTTCTTCGCGAACAACAATGAATCTATCAGAATTCAACAACTCGGACGAAAAAATCTTCGATACAAAGAAAATGGAGGATCTGGAATTATTCAAAAGATATAAAGTGACGGAATTAAATTCGATTGCAACCAAGTACGGTGATGCTGCAAGACACTTCCAACTATTCAATTGATTAATCAGTATCAAATAATTTTATACAAGTATAATTTCATATGAGTAAAAAGTATTGTATATTTTATAATTCATTTAAACATTTGTGAAAGATTAAATAAAAAAGTCTATGTAACCATATTTATGTTTTATCATTTTTATAAAAAAAGAACCTTAATTATTTCATTTTATATATCTACGTATAATAAGTATTAGGAGATGAGAAGAAGAAGATAATTTTTATTTTTATATAATATTCATTTAATTGTTTTTTCTTATACAAATTGATTTTTAGCATTATTACATATCAAAGAATCTTTTTTAAGTATAAAAACTTCTGTTGAATCTTCATGAAAATGTTTGAAGCATCGTTTGTATCCGATAATCAGTGGATGGTGTTTCCATGCAAACGGTAGCTTTTCCCAAACATAATCGATTTCATTGTTCATCATTGGTCACCACTGTTTGCAAGCCAAGTTCGAAAATGTCCCTGGCTTCCGTCTGAGCTATACTCCTTAAGTTTAAATACAGTAGGGATAGAAAATTTTGTCTTGATGTTAAGTTTATGAATTTATCTATATAGAACCATTGCATCTGTACGACGAGTCTGGCACAATCATATGGAAACCTGTAGTCTCTAAAGTGTAGATGTTTTTGACTATATTTAAAGTTGACTTGGAACAAACGATCCATACTTTGTTCATTGGAGATATTCTCTAGATGTTTTGTATCATATGTACAACATCTAAGTTTGTGCGCTGATGTTATACTCGATGTTCCATATCCAAAAATTGAAATATCAATTATTACTTGATTCGATGTTGAAAATTTCAGGGAAAAATTTTTTTGTAAACCATCAGCAACATAAATATATGTTGCATTTTGTAATGCATTCGTTATGAGCTTTTTTAGATGATCATATAGAACTTCACCACATCCCTTATCAATTCAGTGAATAACATAAGTATCCCATGACATTTGATTTTGATAATCGCACTCTAAAGATGCAAAATTTTTTGGAGGTTGAAACAACACAGTACGTTCTAATGACCTATCTTGGAAATTATTCAAAGAGATGATGGAAAATTCTTTAATAACAAACTCACTACCCATAAAGGTATAACCTTGTACGTTTACCACAACAGCATTCATTTTTGTGAATGAAAAAATGATCTTACTCGACTGAGAGTTTGAGAAATACTGATACATCATTTTTAAGATAAATTGAGGATTATTACGATGGACATTCGATTGTTGTTAGATAGTAATAGATCTTCGTCTTCCCTCCTACTTTCAAAAACGAGGAAAAATTTCAAAGGAATTTATTTATTTAAAAACATAAATTAAATAGCTTCCGAATTGTAAGACTTGTAGTTTATTAGAGAAAACATTGAACATGTATAAATTTATTAGTAATTACATTTTTTTAATCCTAAATTTACATTATTGCAATGAACCAATGAAGTTTGACACCGTTAGTTTCATAGACACGTCTCATATCCTCATCTAGAAGAACTTCAGGATGCTCATCAATGTGCTTATTGAGCATATTATCTTGATTCAAGCGTTTGATTTCATCATATTGAAGAATGTTAGGCGTAGTTTTAGCTGTTTCTGGATCAATTATTTGCGCAATTATTTTTTTCAGCGTGTGCTGTAGCTTTGCCTGATGATGCTGTTATTGAATCCCATGTAAAATTGTATCTGTAGCGATATTTGGTACATAATGCCCATAATTGTGTTATGAAGCATTCTTTCAGCTCACACTCATAGCAAAAGTCGACAATCCATGATTTCATTTCATCCTTATTGAATCGAGATGTTATATCTTCATCAGGGAGCATTTCAGGATGTGTATCAATGTAGGCTCTCAACGCACCATAGCCTTCTTTGAGTAGAGAATCTATTTTTTGATCTTTAAGTATCTTAAAATTTTCCTGAAGACTTAAATTCTTAAAGTTTCCTTCAATATTTAAATTGTTCAATTGTATTACAATTTTTTTTGAAGCATATGCCAGAGATTCATGTACTTTTTCTTCTACATCGAACTCACTAGTTCATTTACTTATACTTATTGCAGCATGGTTTCCACAGTTGGATCAAATAAACCCAATGTACAATCCTCCTTCTTTAAGGAATTTCCATGAATATCCAGATGGTCTCAAGTCCACATCATGTTCAAATGCTAACTTTTTCGCTATATATACATAACAATCTGCTGGTCGACAAATATAACACTTATTTTTTGGTAAAGCTATGTCAGAGGAATGATGATAGATAAATTTAACGACTAGTTTACAATGATTGTATTTCACTCACGATCGAAACGTGACTGATAGATTCTCGACTTTGGATTGGGGGAAGAGCATTAAGCTGCATGCCTTTTTCTAATAAATTATCAAAGAAACCTCACTTAGATTACACCCCATTAATTATTCAGTAATATTTCCCAATCTATGTTTGACACCTCACCTCAAGAATCCTCCCTCAACCCCCGCCTTAACAAAACCTAAGAACTCCCCCACGTTTCACGTCTACAGCTATAAGAGTTCTACCGCAAAAAACTTTAGAGACACCCCCTGCCCCCCACTTTTCACGTCTACAGCTTTCTACCACAAAAACCTTAGAGACACCTTCACCCCCCACTTTCAGCGTGCACAGCTATGAGAGTTCTACCACAATATTCATCCCTCCTCCATGCGTCAACAGCTATGAGAGTTCTACCGCAGCACTCTATTGCGGTAGAACTCTCATAGTCTATCTACTCGTCTTATTTTTCTTAATTTCAATAGTTAATTTTTTTTAAAAAAATGCTTATATCCCGAAAACGAAAAGAGGTAGATCAAAAATAACAGAATTGTCTCTATCATGATGGTTATTTTACTGTATGTTAAATTTTCAAATAAATCATTAAAAAATAATAACAACAGTTTATACATAATGTTCTTTTACATTTCGAGGATAGATAAAAAGATCGACTTTGGACGAATGTTTTCCAAAGATAATGTGGAAAAGTAGATTTAAAAAAATATTTAGACAAATTACAAAAAACTTTTTTCCATTATAATAACAAGAAGAAGCGAGCAATGAGAACTCCTTTGCGTCGTTATCGCTGTTTAAATTATTTTCTATTTTTTTTCTTTTATAAATTAAATTAATGAAAACAAGTTCTACTGTTTTTCAAAATTTTTAAGTTTTTTTTATTCATTCCGAAAATTCATGTATATCTACATAAGATATATATTGTATGTATCTCAAATACATCTTTTTTATTCCTGGGATATAAACGGGATATATTCCGGACATATAACAATCGGCCAAAAGTATATTATCCCGGGCATATCCTGCATACATTTTTTTAACTTCCTAGTGGGAAGTTGTCCTAATGGGTCCGATTTTGCGAATCCCGAATTTCGACATATCTCCACGTTTTGAGGTCCCCAGAGTCGAATACGATCGTTTTCCTGTGGACATCTGTGTGTGTGTATGTACGTATGCAAGTATGTGTGTATGTACGTATGTACGTTGGTTTGTTTGTAATTACCTGGCCGATTATCTCGAGAACAAAATATGATATCGATGTGGGACCAATTGCATTCGACGCGTAATTATGTGATTCAGAACTGATTAGATTTTCAGCAAAATCGGTCCAGCCATTTTTTTTGCTGAACCAAAAAACTAGCAAAAATGGAAAACGACCTGAATTTTGCAGTTTATAAATTATACCATTTTTTAAGAAAAAATTTCAAAATCTTCTGAAAAATATGAATATTAAATTATTAGAATACTTGTATAAAAATATGGTAACAATATTCTATCGAAAAAAAAAATTTTGAAAAACAAAGTCAGCAATGAAAGAATTTTAAACTCGTGTCAGGATTGAGAAAACAGCGTTAAAGACGCTATAATAGTCAATAATAATTGTTAATAATATGGAATTGTGTCCATAACAATTGAAAATTGTTACTAACAAATGATTATTGATCATAGTAATATTTAAATAATAAGTTTTAAATTGTTATAAACAATAAAAATAGGAATCCATGCTATTTATATATGAGTACTTCTAACGCATAATTTTTTCTTTTATTGAAAAAAATTTTACCAACCGTATGACATAAATGAAAACATACTTTTTTCGTGTATAACAGTGAAATTTCGTTGTAAATAATGAAACAAAGGATCTATGAGGTATATTCGAATTCTTCTAACGCACAATTTTTTATTTTACTGAAAAAAGTTACTAACCATATTAAATGAATAAAAACACACTTATTCCGTTCATAACAATTCCATTTGTTATAAAAAATAGAAACGGGTTTTATCCGAGGTGTTTTTTTATTTTTTCCACTGGGAAGTTGGTCGTGTGGACCTTTCGGGTCGCACCCAGACCACTGTAGAGCACTGATATTTGTATCTTGGTGATATTTGGATATATTTTATATATTTCCCAGATACATCATAGATACATTGGATTTTCGTGTGGGAATTACTTTGTTCGTAAATAAGTAGTATAGCACACAGTATTTTCACGATACCGGCTCAAATAAACTTGATGAAACTTGCACAAAGAGCAGTGAAGTCTCGATGATAAAAGAATTTCATTTGACGAAAACAAAAACGTCTCGGTAATACAAACAATCGTTCTCCTTCCAAAAAAATTTATCATCCAATTATTATGAATAAAATCAGCGCGGCTTCCAAATAACTAATTTATTTACGTTCCAAGCTGTAAAATTTACTTGATAAACAGTACTCTCACGTGTTAGTCGATTACTATACACTTTTTGATTCCTTACCCAAATATTAATTCTAAGAATTATGCAACAAAAATTTGTCAGTAAAAAATCGATAAAACTATGAGTGACACATACGAGATATGGAAGTCAAAATTACAGTGAGGGAATTTGTAAATTTCATTTAAGCCTAGTATAAATTTACAGATTATCTCATAAAAATAAAAAATTGAATTAGTATATTCAGATTACAACATAACACTGAAAACTTCAATTTAAAATATATGCCATTGTCGGAGTTTGTTCAGTCAACCGACAGACAGGTTTCCTAACCTTTCAGGTTAGGTGAAGCCCCCGAGTCGATTTCATTGTGACATGACACTATACAAAATTCTTAAGGTAGTGCCGTAGAAAAATTCTTGAGAGCCCCGTATCTATCCTTCAAATTTTTCCTCCACTAATTAACACACAAGTCACTATCTAGTAACTTAACGAGCCAATCACAGAGCATTGAGTGACCAATCGACATTTCGGGGGAATAGTCCAACCTTTCTTTTAGGACTTTTACCGGTTGCTTCCAATATTTCGAGGAGAGAGCACGCTTTGTTTCTTTGAGATTTCCTAGCTAAAGAAAAAAAGAGTTTTTGAGTGTCTAAGAGATTCGAGAGTATTCGTTTAGCTTTAGGGACCTTTACAGAGTTTAATTGAGTGATTTGTGTCAACCATCTTGAGTGAGAGTGTTCGAGACCGAAAAAAATCGTAATAGCGTAAAAAAAGGCAGAGCAGTGTAATGAAACAAAATAAACTAGTTTATTTCGTTTAAACTTTATAATTTCTTTGTGATCAATCTTCATCATGATTTGATCATGATAACATTTAAAATAAAATCAGATTCATTAACGAAT